GCAGCCTCTACATCACATCGCGCCTTAACTGCGCTGATAACTGAATAACTGATGCCCAAAACTCACGGTGGCTCCCTGATTGTCTTACACACACACACACACACACACACACACACACACACACGTCTTGGCCCCCTGCCCATTTGCAGCTCCACCTTTTATTTTATTCTGTATTTATACTTTTGGTTTCTCAATAAGAGAAATCATGTGATGTTGAAAAATCCCACGCTACTGCCTGAGCAGAGGCTGTGCCGCTATGTTGCCAAAAGACCCTGGAAGGAGAGGGACATCGAGGGGTGGTGAGAGGACAGGCCCCCTTAGTGCGCTTCCTTTCGGTGAGGCTGAAAATAGGCAGCTGAGGCACACAAAGACAGCAGGAGGCCCTAGGAAGTGAGGTAGGAATACAACTGCCCGGAGGATGGCTGTGAGTTCGAGGCCAGCCTGCACTACAAAGGCAGTGCCAGCCAGCCTGAGCTACATAGGGAAACCCTGCCTCAAACAGACCAAAAATGAAAAGAATATTCTCTAAGCATAGTGGTGCCTGCCTGTAAACCATGAGAATCACAGTTCAAACCTAGCCGTGGCAATTTATTGAGATGTCACACAGCAGGTGGCGTGGCTGGGAATGTATCTCAGGACAAAGGCCCTGACTTCAATCCTTAGTACCCTCTCCCAAAGAAACAATACCCTTACAGCCAAGATCTCCAGGAAAGCGGGCTTTTTTGGAGACAGGCCTGGCCACGTGGTCCAGGCTGACCTGGAACTCTCCGTGTGGCCCGCTTGTCTGAGCCCCTGTGCCCCAGTAAAAGCAGACTGCTTTGAGGGGTTGTGCCCAGGAGCTCTCAGCCACTGGGGGCCTACGGAGCAGACTCCCCAGTGGGGCCGTTGTAGTGTGGGGACCCTGGGAGGTGAACATGTGCGTGTGGAAAGAGGCCAGGTGGGCAGGGGTGCAGGGCCTGGATCACCAGTGCTGCGAAGGCAAGACTGCACGACGACGCGTGTGCAGAGGCTGGCTGACAGTACCAGAGGCAGCACCGCTCTGTAGCTCAGCTGAGTTCTGTGAGGACTGATTACGCACCCAAGCCACAGAGGGGCGGGAGCCAGGCCACCGCTTACCAGCTGGGCTCTGAGGGACCCAGGAGGTGAGCCTTAGGTTTGCTTCCCAGTGAGTCAGAGGTTGCCTGGGAGAACTGAGTCAAACTGCCCCTGAAGGGGCGGGGCTAGGGTCACTGTCTCTAAACTCCGTTTTTTTGGTTTTCGTTTTTTGTGGCAGAGTATTACTGTGTGATTCAGGCTAGCTTTCAACTCACTATATAGTCCAAACTGGGGGATCCTCCTGCCTCGGCCTCCAGAGTGCTGGGATTACAGGTGAGTGCCACCACGCCTGGTTGCAGACTCTGGATGAGACCAGGTAAGCACTCTAACCTCACGCCCTGGGGGCCCAGACGGAAAATGCGCTCAGCTTCCATTCTTCTGCAGGCTTTCTTAAGTCAAATGCAATAGCACGCCTCAGGCTTAGGCTTCCTGGGTTACAGACTCATCTTAGACACAACTTGCTGACCTTACGGCCATGTCACCCAGGCCCAGCTCCTGTTGTTCCCGCGACTCCTCTGTGGCAGGAACGCTGGAAGGCTATGAAGCCCACGCCCACCTGAGACGCAGAGGCCCACAGCGGGCTGGAGGCGCCTGGGGGCTCCCAGAGGAGGGCTTAGCACTGGTGGCGGGAATCATCGCGGGGGTGGAGTGGGGGTGGCTTGCGGCCTGATGCCAATTTATGCATTCACGAGGCTCGCCACAGGCGCAGGCACACACTTCTGGCGGCCTGCCCAACACTGACTGTGATCAGAGCGTGCCGCAGAGGAGTCTGTGCAGGAAGCCGCTCCTACTGTCATCTGATCGGAGCGGTCACCTACTGGTTCACACAGGCCCATGCCTCCTCCTGCACAGCAGGTGTGGATTCCTGTCAGTGGAAGAACCCAAGGGCCTGAGTTTTTGTTGTTGTCTGATTGAGACAGTCTCACTGTCTAGTTCAGGCTGGTCTTGAGCTCACTTTGTAGCGCAGGGTGGTCTTGAACTCACAAGGATCCTCTTGCCTCGGTCTCCCGAGTGCTGGGATTACAAGGGTGTGTCACCACACCTGGCCCAATTGACATGTTCTCCCCAACCATGTACAGAATTTTGAATATATCTTTTTTTTTCTTTTTATATATGTGGTATAGGGTCTCACTATACAGCCAGACTCATAGTGGTCCTCCTGTTTCCAGCCTCCTCAGCACTGGGATTACAGGGGTGCACCTCCAGGCCCCATCTTGGTGGCCGGCTCAGTGCACCCAGAGGCCGGGCCAACACAGCCTGTGGTACAAGGGATCAAATCCTGGTCCCTGCACTGGCCTAAGCAGTGAGCTATCTCGCTGGCCTTCTGCACAGATCTTCCTGCTTAGCATGTATTTATGTGTTAGACTTACCCAAGTGAGGGACATGTCTTTGTCATTCACAAGCTTCCTGGGTCACCCCTGAATTTATGCTAATGAGTGATGAGGGCCCCAAGAAAACATCAGGATGGATCACAAGAAAGATCGTGAGAGGATCCGCTGTGGGGATGTGGTAGACCCACCAGTGGTGCTCAGCTGGAAGCACCAGCTGACCTGGCCCAGCATGGCGCGGCGGTGGGAGGTCCAGTGCAGGACTGCTGCCCACAGCGAAGAGAGCTGGAGGGCAAGGTGGTGCCTGGGGATTCTCCTGGACACGCTTGTCCTTTTCCTGATGTGGCCGCCACTGTTCTCATCCTCAAAGGAGCTCAAGACCTTACTGTTAGGATGGCTGTGGCACCTTTTAGGGAAGCTCTAGTTCTTTCTTTCTTTTTTTAAAAATGTATTTGGCACAGGTCTCACTACACAGATTGGACTCATAGCAAACCTCCTGTTTTCAGCTTCCCCAGCTCTGGGATTCCAGGCATGAGCCACCATGCCGGGACTGGCTAGCTGGCTCAGCATGCCCTGGGGGCGGGGCGGGTGCAGTGTGTGGCTCTAGTTCTCACTGAGAGTGTCACTTCCTGGCTCCAGGGCAGATCCCGCAGCCTGCTGGCACAGACCCTTCATCCCACTGGCATTGACTTTGTAGCTTCCACCACTGACCTCTGGGCCTTCCCGGTGCAGATCCATGAAACAGGGCTGTGTGAGACATCATCGTAGGCTTTGGGCCACCAGTTGGACTCACAGGGGGCACGTCATGGGCTCTAGGTCTGCAGCAGGACATGTGCAGGACACTGCTGTGACTTCCAGGCCCTCAGCTGGAGTCTTCAGGTTTTGGTGTGTGACGAGATCTCCTGCACTCTTCTGCATTTGACTCTTCGAGTGACTGTTATAAAATAATCCTATAAATTATGTATCCTGCAGTAAAGTGTTTTCCTTGCAAACCCTGAGTACAACAGGGGACTTGGAGCTGGCTCATTGATCTCCAGGGAGGAGAAGGTTGCTGAAATTGAGTTCACTGTGTAGCCAGCCATTTAATCAGTCACACCTACCGTGTGAAAGAATACAGATTCTGGAGCTCAGCTGAGCTTGGGTGGTGACCAAATCGATGTGCTAGGAGGGCGGTACCGCCGTACTCAGGGGACACAGAGCTCATGTCTGGACCCTTGCCAGACCTTGCTCTCTGAGTCTCCTCATGTGGCTGGGCCTATGCACACCGGGAGTCCCAGCACACTGGAGGCTGAGACAGGAGAATCGCTGGGAGTTCAAAGCCAGCCTGAGCTACATAGCCAGACCCTGACCCA